GCTTCATCATGCTACTGATTAAGTATTTATAATCGACAAAAATATGTTTTTTTTTTTAGAAAAAGACTTCAAATTTCTGAAATGTTTGATGTAAAGTTGATGTATCATCGTCTAGCATTCAGGAGCGATTTTTTTTTTAAATGGATTCTTACTGTATTAAAATCATGCGAAAGTCATCTATCAGAATACCATCCAACTACTTAAAAGAACCGAAGTTCAGGATAGATTTTCGAAGTTACGATTAGAAGAAATCAAAAAATATCAAGAACAAAAAGTTACAATAGAACGTTCAAATTCAAGAAACCTGTGTAAAATTGTAATAGAAACAGTAAATTTTCGTGAAACTCGAATAAAAGGCATATTTTCAGTGATAAATTTGAAAAAAATCAACTCTTATGAAAGTCACGTTCAAAGCAAAACTCGACGGCAGAAGACGAATTTCAAAACACATTATTATTGAAATAAGTTTTTTCCATATGATGCTAACCTCATGAAAAAACTGTATCGAGTGAATTGTTAGTAGTAGATGAAAAATATTGTACAATATTCCTATCGTAAATATCTCATTTATGCATTCATTGATGAATGCTCTTCATTTATTGACTCCGTATGAGTCAGAATCGATCTCTCTGTATTTACTGTCTTGAAAGATATAAATATTCCAACTCCTAATTAACCTACAGACAATATTGTATTTCATTGTTTTTTTAGAAGACAGTAAGAATACACTGCCTCCCATACTATATCGCCGTATTGTTCCACTCTCGGAAATTTTTCTCGTAAACCGGTGTCTAGATCTGATCACTTAATGGATCAGGTGGCTATCGAGGCGCGCCTTTTTCGTGTCAAGACAATTAGAAGAAAAGACTGGGATGGTTTTCCAATAAAGGAATCCGATACGACGGTCGCGGGGTGAAAAACAGAAAACGGCTTGTCAGGGGGTCGGCTACTTCGATCTCTGGGCGGTTTTTTATTTACATTTCCAGTCGCCCCACTCCAGATCGATACGAGAATTCATTTGTAATTGTAACTTTATTTAATTGGAAAGTCTGATAGAGAAGATATCGGCTTGGTATGTACATAATTATTTGTGATGAATAATCTATGAAGATATACAATATGTACCCCTGTATCTTTCGTAATTGTTGGGTTAGGATTCTGAAATTTGCAGGAGAGGGAGATATACCGGAAATACATAGTATCATTGTGGAATTATAATATAGGCCAATCAAATAATTATATTTTGAGGAATTAATTTCCAGCAAGCTGGAAATCATTTAATTACCTTCATTCGGTCCCAAATGCGTGTAATCTAAGTTTGCACCATTCCAGGAGTTGAGCTTAACTTTTGATAGCCAAAAAACCGCCAAATTTTTGCACTTTTTTTTATTTTTTTGCTTATAGCTGCAAAATGGTTCATCGGTCGAAAAATGTCATTCTATTCAATAATATAGAAGGCAAAATTCTGCGTCGAATGACATCTGAAAACATCAAATTCCGTTTAGTAGTATAGCCGAAATCGAATGTTAAAAAAGAAGAAAGTTTCGTAGTTCGGTGCAAGCTTACATTTTGCGGCTTTCCAAGACGACATATCGTGAAAACAGATACTCCTATTGAAAAAACCCATGAAATAAAAGTTATAGAGAATAAAATTTTACGTTATATAGATAGATGTCCAGATGTTTGAGTTTTCTTGATTTGTCCGGATATCTGAATGCCCGGTTCAGCTTCGGTCCCAAATTTGCATCAATTTATAATTATTTTTCATCTAGTGCGCGAAATGCTACTTTGGTGATCGAGAGCTGATTTTTTTAACGAGGCGCAGCCAAGTTAAAAAATAGTCGAAATCACCAAAGTATTTCGCGCACGAGTTGCACCGAACTACGAAATTTTCTTTTTTTTAACATTCGATTTCGGCTATACCTCTGAACGGAATTTGATGTTTTCAGATGTCATTCGACGCAGAATTTTGTCCTCTGTATTATTGAATGGAATAACATTTTCCGTCCGACGCACCGTTTTGCAGCTATAAGCAAAAAAATAAAAAAAGTTCAAAAATGTGGCGGTTTTTTGGCTATCAAAAGTTAAGCTCACCACCTGACATGGTGCAAACTCAGATTACACGCATTTAGGACCAGATAGAGGTATTAAAACGATTTCCAGTTTGCTGGAAATTAATTCCTCAAAACGGTTTTTTTCGATTTAATTTTATTAGCCTAATATGGTGTGTACGATGTTTATAATTCCTCAGGTGTGCCGTTACCACCGAGTGCCCACTCTTCAATTGTTTCGTCAGACTAGCTCTCGATATGAACAATTGAATGCGAGTTCGGAACGTTAGGTTCTCATATTCGATGATAGATGGCGTGAACGATGGACAATTTCTTGGAAAATTTCAAGATGCGTTTCGAATTTTATTATGAAGTTGAACTAGACTTTCTAGGATTCGTTTTCTGTCCTTCGGGATGATGCACGAATTCAATAATTGCTGAAAAGAAGCATCTAGAGATAGGACGCAAACGAGACTGAATGACCAAGTGGAGTTATCTCCAGTGATATACACTGCTTATCAACAACCATCATGGAACCGCCCACATTTCCTAAAAATGGAAGTCCCTGAAATCTTGATACTCCCGCAATACGATAAGGCAGGCTCAGTTTGTTATACAAAGGCACGAAAATAGCTGTGAAAAGGCTGACTACCTGATGTCTTCTGACAAATATGAGATCATCTATTCTCTGCGTTTCCGTGATAAAAAATCACTACATTTCACCAGTGAAGTATATAACGTTGTGGCGACATTGTTTGTATCGGCAACGGCAATATTCACTCGAGTTTATGAGCTCGGTTTTTCGTTCGACGCCTCATTTTCCTTGAAGCAATCTCGGAGAATCCGAAGCCCTAGGATGTTGCGGGTGTATTTTTCGAGACGCGTACGGGCCGTATTTCGATTATCCGGCATCTTCGGCATCCCTCCCGTCACACATAAACAAAATTACTTGGAATTTTGTAGGATCAATTTCCCCTATCCATTAGGGGTGCCTGGGACGAAGATGGGGCTTCCCACGACGGCTATTACATACCCATCGTCGTCTATGTTATTCATAAAATTGTATAGGAAATGCTCCACATCGGTTCTCGGCTGATATGGATTTTCCAATGTGAGATATATCGCCCTACGACTTCGACCAGGGAGGGCGGAAAAACAATTCCTCAGTTCCTACGTTTCTACATTTTCTCTATGCATGCCATGTATGGAATCATTTCTACGAGTACCTATAACATGGTACACAGATGGATAAAAAAATGACTGAGATATGCTCCAAACTTGTCTGGTACTGCTTGAAAGCCTTAAATGAACTGGGCAGTCAGAACAGACTGACTAGCATGCATAGTCTTTACAGTCACTGTAGACAAATTCAACAAAAAACATCGCCGGCGAATCTCTCTTGATCAAGATGTCTCAGTGACTTTGTGAAGACTATACCAGCACAACAGAGAATGAGGGCAACGAAGAGGAATGGAATTCTCTTGCCCGAGCAGGAGCAAGAAAAACCCATTTGTGGTATTGCGAAAGCTGTACAAAAGCATCGAATCATGGATGCAAACCAAATCAGGAAAGAATAATATAAGGACTTCTCACAGGGCATTGTAGGCTCCACAAACACATGAGAATGACAACAGCATCAGTACACATTATTTGCCACTGTGAGGGCTTGACAAAACCAAGGTTCCTTACCATGGGAGAGGAAAAACCATGAGTCCGAGGATACACAGGGCCCATAGGATCTGAAAGCTACCCCATGGAGTCTCATAGAGAAGGCGAAGTTAGTCAAAGAACTTGAACGAATTCGACATCAGACACAATAGGCCTCATTCTAATCCAATCTAATCAGTATTCCAACACATTGGCTGTTCAAAGTTACAGGTCTGAGCAACCATGCACACCTCTCATTCAGAGAACAAAAAAAATTGTAGCCATGGAACTGTATGGGAAGCATCTCACTGTACACTTGAACAGCTTTCAAAACATCAGTAATCTCTGGATGACTCTAGAGTTTGACAAAACACCTGCTGAATGTTCCAACAAGAATTTTTGTCAGATGAACTGGCTGGTCATGTTTTTCGAACACCCCGTGAACTTCATCCGCGTCATCTCTCATATGGACAGGTCGGAGGATGTGTTGTCAGCAAACCCAATCATTTCAGGCGTCTACCGACATTAGTTGCGGCGTCGATTTGACGAGCCGTGACAGTTCGGCCGACGGTGCGAAAGAGGAAACAACCCCCTTCCTCCCCATACTCCCCATACTCCCCAATGAAACTATCCGTGCACGATCATACGTTGCCGGAATCTGGTGTTGGTCTGCCTGATTTCCGGTTATGGAAAAAGTTTCTTATTTAGTATAGACGCGTTCATAACATTCGTTTTTATACTGGCAATATTGATCAATCCAGAATTACGTCATTTGACAGGTCGTTGGAAGGCAAACATTGTATTGTGTCATATGAAACCAGAAGTAGTTGGATCATCTTTCTTGGAATTTGAGTTGGAACCCAAATGAGTTTCATGATTTTGTTTGGTGAATCTGTTATTGTATTCGGGATGTGGGTAGGGCTGTGCTCATCAAGGGCTCTCGAAGATAACAAAACAGATAGTTTGTATGCCCTTCAAGAAACAGTGTCAAAATCACCTGTTCTGGATTGGTCAATTGTGTTGATCGTGCTTCCTTTGAACAATACTTTATGGATAACATAAAAACATTCTGTTGTATCAAGAGATTCTTTCCTTGAAAAGCAACAACGCCACGTTCCTCGTATGAATGCCATCGTATGGCGGTGTTGCCACAAAAGTGGTTTGTAGTTTTGACGGTAGTTCATCATAATATTCGCCTGATTCCTGAATATAACGTATTGCTGATTTCAACTCCTGATAGTGTATTGAAGAATTCCTATTCGAAACTGTTTACTAACATCAGGCAATGTTGTGTGTTTTCAGGTTCATCAACGCGAGGCGGAGAATAGTACAGCCTATGATAGACCAGTCGAACAGAGCAGGTAAGTTACTTTTAAAGATACTTATCGTAGAAAACAAGTACGAATAAGATACAATTCTCTCAAAACTTGAAGATCAAGCTTGAAACAATACCAACCTTCTATAGCAATCTGAAACTTTCAAAATGTGTCATGCCAGGATAAGTATACTTGGTTTCTTCAAATTCCTATATCATAATTTGCTATTTATCTCGAATTTAAATATGATTTCCTCATTATTGAAGTATAATATTTCTATTATCACAGTTGCACGGTTCTCAGAACCGATTCAACGAAAGATATTCAAATGAAGAATGAATACCGAAAGATTAGCCGTTCCTCTACGGAGAGAATATAAACGTTAAGTGCATTTAGAACTATCGATTAAGAAGGAAAGAAAGATATTGTATATTGCTCGTACTTGCGTCCAGCCCACATCTCAGTCTCCTTACACCAGATGTCCTCGCCGCTCGGGTAGATTAAAACGGCTATTCTCGCGCTGCCCGCTGCCCTTATCACACTTTTATAATGAATCGTGATTTCCATTAAAGCTTAACGCTGTCACGCATTTTTATGAAGATATGGGCCAATCCCGCTAGCCGATATGACTTGTAAGTGGAAAGTCTTGTATGATCGGTCGACTGTTATCTGGCTTTTTATTTCGCCAGCGAGGAACTCATTCCTCCGTCTGCCGATTATTAATGGCCGTCGATGTTAGAGTGTTCTTTCGGTACGCTATCGATTTCGGAGTTTTCTGTTCCTGTTGGAGACAGCCGAAGAGAAATGGCGGCAGCCATTGACCCTTGCGGGCCGATCCATCACCGAGGGCCGCTCACAATCGGCCCGAATGACAGCCCCACGCTCGGGGAAACTTCTCCCAGTTCTCTCCCGGCTAATACACTCAGGCTCCCTGCTTCTCTCCTCCATTCGTTCGTTCGTTCGCGGAATTTATACATGTATTCGCACCGACGAAAGTTTCACTTTCCATCGGCCGGAGAAAAATCGCCAGCTATTCATTCTCTGATCACAATTCAATCCCATGGTGCATTGACTGTCAATGGCATTGTAACAATGCTGACCACCACGTTCATCAAGAATCACCACCAGAACACAATGGGACTGTATGTACAGTGTGTGCAGTTTTCGATGCTTTTGCGTGATATCTCAGTTATCTTTGGAGATAAAACCTTGCGGTTTTCACGATCCTGTGCCACTTTTTTATGACACTCAAGATGGCTTAGTCAGATTTTACATAACTGTCTCCATTTATGAGATACAGGGCTATTTTGTAAATTTATTCTTTTTGAACCCCCTCTATATCTACGAAGTTTTTCAGCGAAAATGTCAAATTGCATGGAATCTTATCCCATAGAGAATATTACACAGAATCCAAAGGGCGCACTCAAAATTTCTTTTCGTGGTATGGTTTTGCAGATATGACTAAAACTTATGATTTTTTGAATGGAACACCCTGTATTTCATAAGATAATTGAATTCCTTATTTTGTTTCCTTCAGAATTATATACAGGGTGTTTCAAGACTAGTCAACTCCTTCCATGCCGAGTGGATTATTTTTAATCGTCTTTTTATCTGTTTATCAAAAAAAGACCCAAATTCCACATTCAGATACAAATGTTGTATTTGAATGTGAAATCCGAGCACACGATGCTCCAAATACCCTGTATAATGTATAAATATAAAATCTTTTGAAATGTTCCAAAAGCACCTGAACATTGAATTTCAATAGTGGTTCATGGATTTTTCATGTAAAAAAGTTCAAATTGAAGGAATATTTGTTTTGATTTTTTCATGAAGAGGATAAAAACGATACCAGCACTAATTAATTAACAAAACACAAAACTCAGGCACCTGACAGCAACAAAAAGCGAAAAAGTTTACCGGCGACAGTCAATTGCTCCCATTTTGACAATTTTAATCTCGGCTTCTTTACGACCAACTCGATAATAGCGTGATATTCATACAAGCTGTTATTCAAATCCCATTCCTGTTTGCCTTTTCGTCATACTATCGATATTTCCACCACTTCCCGATATTCAATCGAACAGAAATGTTGCACACACCCTTGCTGTTGGCATATATCTAAATAATGCTGTTGGTCAGAGGAATTGGAGCAAAAATTGTGGATTTACGAGGTATCGATTCGATTAGGCCATGTGCAGTCAGATGAGAAGTGCCTAAATCTTTCGAACCATTCCCATCTCGTAATATGTTGAGATTCGTGTCTTTCGATGATTAGTCGATTCGTGAGACTTCGAGAGTGTCGTTAATAATTCTGAGTTTGTCTACGAGCGAATACGCATGCGTCCATAAATTCACGTGATTCAATGTCACCAATCTGACAATGAGGTTTGGGAATGGTTCGAAAACGTTAGGCTCTCGGGCGATGATAGCACCTCTAGTCACTTCTGTATAATAATAGTGTTGACACCATCCAATCGCGACATGTTCTTTGCATCTGACTGTACCTGGTATCTGACTTCCTCCTGATGGTGTAAGGAGTCGAGTTGTTTTTCAAATTGCAATTATTATTTTCGTCGACCTCCCGATCCTGTTTCGGAGCAGCGTCGTAACACGACTAATTCGATCAGTTTTTCCGCCGCATCACGCAGGTCCGAGCGGCGCGTACAGTCCCGACGGCACGATGGGCTACATGATGGACGGGCAGCAGATGATGCACCGGCCGCCCGGCGATCCCGCCTTCCACAACCAGTACGCGCACTACCCCGAATACTACGGACACCATCTGTGAGGTAAAACGAACAAAAAACAATTTTATATTTAGTATTCATTTAGTGTTCATTTCATGTTCATTTAGTGTTTTGTTGGTATTCATTTAGTGTTCATTTAGCAAGTGACCTAGTATTGATTCGATGTGCATTGAGCCTGCATTTAGTGTTCCTATAGTGTTCACTTAGTGTTCACTCAGTGTTCATTTAGCAAGTGATTAAGTATCGATTCAACTTGCATTGAGACAGCATCTAGTGTTCATTTATTGTTCACTTTGTGTTCACATAGTGTTCACTTAGCGTCCACTCAGTGGTCATTAAGTATTCATTCAGCGAATGATTCATTATTGATTCAATGTGAATTGTGTCTGCCTTCAATGTTTGATTAGTGTTTACTTAGTGATTACTTAGTGTTCACTTACTGTTCATTCATTGTTCATTTAGTGTTCACTTATTATTTAGTATTCATTCATTTCACTTAATGCTCAGTCGGGGTTCAACTAGTGTTCACTAAGTGCTCCGTAGGCGTTCAATTAGTGTACATCTAGTGTTCATTTAGTATTCATTTAGTATTCATTCAGCGAATGAATTATCTTTTCATATATATAATATCATATATATAAAATGGTGTTTCTCGAGTAGGAAAGATAATGGAGTGGAACGTTGAAAAAAGATAAGGCTAACTGTTACACCCCACAGGGTATCACAAATTTCATGAAAAAAAATCACGCTATTATTGCTCCACCTGGTATTCATGAAAACGTTCGGAAGGAAATAACTTGTCCTTCGAAAAAACACTATGGTGAAAATCATATACCAATATCTATCATCCTTTCAAAGTAATAGGGCGTTTCTCGCGAATGTTAAATTCTTTGTTTGGAAATATCCCTGAAATACTTTTTGTCTTTTCATTTCGACAATAGAACTTTTCCTCTGAAAGTGGCAAATTTGGTGGCCTAAATCACATCGAGTATACCTTTGATACCAATAAATTTGGTATACATTTGGTGTACATTCACTGTACATTTAAGGGAGACAAAGTGTTCAAACTATCTAGTCGAAGACATACTTTGATATATTTTATCGTTTTGGAGTTGTTTGACCTCATTGCAAAATTCTCAAAGGTTTTTCATGAAAATTGATCTTCAGTCACTGAAATTAGTCGTCTATACATTCCGAAACTAGATCCTTCCAAACGAAAGTGATGCCCACTCTGTATATTTATGTAGTGTACATTCAGTGTACATCCAGCTATCATTCATTGTACAATTGTTGATAGTGGTCGAATAGGGTTTCAGGATATAATATGTCGAATCTGATATTACACTTCCCAAGTCGTCTTCACAAATTCAATAAACCTTATTACTCAGTAGTAGTAGTTTCAAGCAAAGCTAGACTCATCTTCAGCTAGCTGATGTTGAATTGTGTAGTGAAATTTCAAGATGTATCATCAATTAGCGGAAGATGATTCTAGTTAGGCTCGAAACATGTACAAATACCTTCTACTACTAAGTAATAAGGTTAATTGAATTTGTGTGGAGGCGACCTAAAGTTTTCCTACTTCTTCAGCTATATTTAGTTCCATGTCATTCGATGAAGTACAGAATATCAAAAAACAATCAATCATCTATTGGGTAAATCAATCCAAACTTAATAATATACCGTCCGATTACTTTGATCTAGAAGAAAAATCTAATACTTAATTGTTGAATCAATTTATTATACAATTTAACGATCGAAATTTTACTACTTACTACGATCGTTAATCCGAGCCCAAAACAGTCGTATAATAAATCAATTCAGTTTTATAGTGACAGAATGGCTAAAATAAACGGTGTTATTATAGAAAACAACAAGAACACCAACAACTTTTATACAGAACATAATAGACAATAAAATATGCCAAAATTAAACGATTCTGATTCGCAAGAATCAAATGTCTTTTCTCATATATACAGTATACTTATATTTTCTATTGTGCTCACAAACTTGTTGTTTATAAATTCGAATCAGTCTCAAATAATAATCAAGTTGGAAAATAAAGAAAATAAGTCTGTAGTCGTTGGGAATGTACAGGGTGGGCCAAATTGGACACTTTTGAAGGTCCTATTCTCGAATCAGATGGAGAAAACTGATGTTGGTGCCTGATATCTGTCTTCGTTTCGAAGTTACAAGGTGTTTTTCGAAAATGGGCATTCTTGAAAAGTGGTTACAGATATTTTTATTGGAAAAAATTGTCTGTTCTCATGAAAATAACTGTAAAGCATTGAGTTTGTGATAAAAATTGTTCTAGAGGCACTGAAATGGGCCCTCCTATATCTTGTTCAGGAATATAACTTGTCCTTCTATTTTGCAATTAGGTATATGGTGACTGATTTCAAGAATTCACGAAATAAAGATAGCTATCGATATGCGGTTTTCACCTTTGAGATTGTCATGTGAATTGATTAAGTGGCACCGTCCTCAGTTTTTTTTCTATCTTGTGGGAATATAACTTTCCCTTTGAAAGTGCCTAATTTGGCACACCCTGTACACTACACAAATTGAGTCTTGATGCAATTTGACTTATGCTCATAACTAATTCACGAACGGATATTCGTGAATCTATCCAAGTCATCCAAAAACAAATGAAAGTTTTTGAAGATTCGTTTTTTGTTTCAGGTCCTCTCCTTGGTGTCACAACGACAATGGACATAGAAATATGCAACTCTTAAATGTGATTATTCTTTGTACAAAGTGTAAATGTAGTGCCCCAGTGTTTAGTAAAGAAAAATAAAAACGGGAAGAACTTGTACAAAAAAGTATTAAGACTACTCGTGCTGACTGCTGTACATAGATAGTGGTGACGTGAGGTCGCTTCAGAATTATTTGGTGTCTCACCAAGAAATGTAATACAAAAAATACCGCACTTGACTGTTGAAACATTGACAGCTGAATGGTGATGAAATCTATAGTCAACTGGACATCAGTGATCTCATATTATTCATATAATAATTGAAATTGAAGGAAACACTATTTTTCACAATGGTATAATTTATAAAAGATGTACTACCCCTGCGAAATTTTTATTTTTTCATATTTTTCACATTTTCATTTTCGTAAAGTAGGGTATTTGAAATGACCAACTGCGACTACTTCTGTGGACTCAAATTCCAAAATGATTTCTTGTAATGACGGATTTTCATTCATAATCGAGAATACCTGTACCGATTCCCATCATATTCATCAGTGTGTTTGTCAAAATTTTCAATAGGTTGTTACCTTCTTCTCAATTTTCGTTGCCGAAACATCCATAGTTGAGTTAAAATTTTATAATCTCCAATGTATTTATATTGTATTTCTTCAAACATTTTTCAAAACAAGGTGTCACTGACTATCAATTGAATTTTCGTTTTGGGTTTCTGATAGTGATATTTTAAGCACAGAAACATTATGGGTCTGAACATCTGATTTGTTTCTTCCGTGTTCAAACGAAATGCTGCTGCTGCACTTTGACCGCTTTGGCGACACCCACCGTAAATCAAAAGCATGTAAACAAGTTAATTATATTCATAAACGTGATACATTGCATGGCAATGAGGATTCAATGACAGGCGCTAGGCAAACAGAATTCTACTGTTGACGGTATCAGAAGGACGAGGATCAGTCTCAATCACCTAACAGAAATTCGTGCGGCTGGACCGTAATGAAATTTAAAGTGTATTGAATGTTCAATAATTGATGATATCCGTTATTATGCAACTCTGATTATTTCAATGAATTCTACATCCTCTCAAAGAAATTAATACTAATATTCCTATTCATAGAGACAAGAGCAAATCCCAAAAATTTTGAAAAGTGAATATCTATGATACAGTGTGTCACCAACAGGTATGGACAGACCTTTCAGGGATCCCCTGTATACCTGTATATGTACGTTTCGAAATTTGAGCCCATAAAAGTGATCGATTACAGCAGAAAAAAAATGTGCCCAATGGTTGGATGCGCATTTTTCTGTTACCTAATTAACGAAAAAGGGTTTCGGGTTCGTTCAAACATACACAGAGAAAAGTTTTCACTCGGATCACATGATTTCTTTTTCATGAAAATACAATTCGTCTCATCAAAATAACCAATTTATTTCTTCTAGGTGAATACATTTTTAAAACGTACTTTGTCATGATGATATGAAAATGAGTATGACAATATGCAATGGTCCAGTAACTAGATTTAATCTCCCCATTCATCTGGCAATCCTTCAAACGAATTGGACAACGCCGCAAAAAAGTGTAAAGTCGTGTGGTCTCGTAGCTTAGGTTCCTCGATGTGTTACCCCTCGTTCCGAATCCCGAAAAATAACCCAACATCACTCCCCAACATTCCCCCCTGAAAACGATCAGCCGATCCCATTTAATTCCTTCCCCCTCCCCACATTTTCATCATTGCGATCCAAGAAATCTGGCAGGCAAGAAACATATACAGAGTGGTGTCTCTAGGACAGTGAGGCAGTTGAATATTTCAAGAGTGTTCCGAATAAAAGAAAATTATGTGAGGTTCCAACAGCCGTTCCTAAAATACATCGTTAATATACGATATTCATTTCTGTCCCACTGGCCTGACTACAAGCTGTAGGCAATACAAATACAAAGTACACATTATACAAGGTTTTTTTCGAATATGTTCGGACCTTGGACCTGTTCATTTGTAAGCAATGTCTAAGAAAATCTAGTAATGATATTCATTTTTCGACCACAACAATCCAAATACTTATCTATCTATAGTGTGATTCTTTACTGATTGGAAATATTTAAGCTATGAAATCATGAGCTCGAAATATGAAGATTCAACCCAAATGAGCTAGAAATAATGTGCCTCCTGCCTGTTACAGGATGTTCTATTATTTATTATACTTATTCAAAGATTTGATTATTATGTATATAGTTTTGTTTTTTTTTTGTTAATAGGGATTGAAAAATCAAAATAATTGTGGCAGCTTCATGTTTAGCTTGAAATCGAAAAATAATGACTTGATCGCTATGACGAA